CCTGCGCTATAAAGCACCATTTTGTATGTATCGGAATGCACATTGCTTGTTGAGATTCCACTTGCACTGCATTGTCCATTCAGTCCTTTTTATCACATTGCGGATCCTCGGTTTGTATGTACATCGCCCAACTGGGCATGTAACACAGCCAAGCAACCACACAATTTTGCATTCAAGCCTGTTGCTGAGCACTGTTGTGCGGTCAAGTGTCAAGTGAGGCTGAAAGGCACTGCAGTGGTGTAGTTAACCGTCTCCTGCGGTGTAGTTGTAGAGCTTCAGCAAGAGAGATAAAGAGAGGAACAAGGAAGACATTCAGATAGGCAGAGAGATGCCAAAGGGTAGTTAGGATATGAGAGACGAGGAATACATTCAGAGAGGCAGAGAGATGCCTAAGGGCAGTTAGGATACGAGAGAGAGAGGGAGAGCCATACCTGCTTGAGTTGCACAGCAGCCATAGCCACCCGTGTGTAGATGCATGAGAGTTCGTTGTACAACACTGAACTTTCAAGCTAATTCCGAAGTGTGCTCATTGTGTTGGTTTGCATGATTTTGCATCTCGTTTCATGGAGTTTTCCACATTGATGTGTAAACGTGTGATGTTTGGAGAAGCAATGTCAATCGGTGCGATCGTTGCAATTGGTATTAGAGCAGACTCTTGTTGTCTCCCCTGGTGGAGGCAACATGGAAGAAGTTGGAAGAGCGATATAGGCCAGCAAGTGATCAACAGGTGTTGCGTGGTGGGTGAAGCGAGTGGCGGCTTGGAGAATTGACAGGCAATTAGGGTTGCTTGGCACAGTGGAAGAAGAGGTCAACGGAGAGGAGAAACTTACCAGAGCAATTGTGTGGAGAGATTAGAGCAAGCATGGAGCGCCATCCAGCTTACAGTGAAGTTCCTCCATTAACCTTTGCCTGGCATGCATGCGTATTGTGCCCTGTGATGGTGGAATTTGTTGGGCTTTTCTGGTGACTCGCGCTGCTGTTCCCAATCCTTTTTGTTGTCATCAAGTCGAGGCTCTAAGGATAGGATGCAAACATTATAGACGGGTAGGTCAACTTGCCAATCTATCTCACATCGTGGTTGGCACGGCCATGAGCAGCAGGCGCTCGTTAGACATCCTGTCTAGCCGCAACGACTGGTACCGGCCAGGATGCGGTCAACTCGAGGAGACAGAGACCGATGTGAGCAAGGCGGTTGGCATGAGCTAGGTTCACCACCCGTCATGATCAAAAGCTGCTGCAGTAGCTGCACTGGCCAGAGTGTGGAGGGGGAGCTCATAAAATAACCCGTCTATCAGCTTGTGAGCTGGCATAGCAGTGGGTGATTAACTCTGTTGGAGATGTAAGAAGAGAAGCCAAAAGAAAAGATAGATCTCAACAGGCCAGATCAAACACGGCCATGTAAACATGATTGCAGGAGAGAAGCATATATTGTCACATAGCTATGAGCTAAAGAGCGCACTTTACGAAAGAAAAGATAAAAATACAAAAAGCAAGGCACATTGAAACCATTCAATTTCTCATTCTTCTTTTAACTCTCCCTACACTGTGCCTGTCACGTACAAGGCTCGCCACGTTGATGAAGTTGAGCGGTCGTGGCAAACACCCTTACAAGGGTATTTGTCGTCCTTTTAAAGGTCGCACTGGGTGCGTCCTTGATCAACGAAACGCGCCGATGAGGTAAAATCCGTCAGGGCGCTCACCTCGGCAACCTCGCTCTTGGCGAGACTCCGAGTCGAATACGACCAGATTAAAATGTGTGGGGCATGCATTATTGCGTTGCACGGTGAGATAGCGGTTAGTCATCGGCAATACTAGGCTGATGAAATGACGCCAAAGCCGTAGGGCCTGGTTACTCCACCTTCTGTAATTTTTATTGTTGATTATATTTTTTTCTTTTATTTTATAAAGACTAGATTTACTTCGCAACTAGTTCGGCCTCTGGCGGGACACGGCACGAAGAGGATAAAAACTTTACCTTGCCCACAGGCGGGAAGTTTGTGTTGGACAACGCGTCGAAAGGCGCAGCGTTGGCAGACCTAGTCTGGGGGAAAGTCTGGAAGTTCGACAAAGTATGTCATGCGTACGACGGCCTAGATACCAGGGAGCTGCAATCCTAGGTGCGGGCAGCTTCTTGGCATCTTCCGACGGCCAAGAGGTTGGCCGGTAGGCCCAGGCGGAGGCCTGGTTTGTGCGGGTAGGACCAATCACGGTCCCACGACTATTCATACGCAGGTTCGCGCCTACCTAGCTCAGCCTTCGGCCTAGTTCTAATGGTTACGCTATTAGACTTTCAAGCGACAGGTTTGTGATTCGAGGTCAGCGAATTATTAAGGAGCGAAGGAGCGCGACATGCGGGAACTGAGGGGTCAAGGGTTTTGAGGGACTATTCCCCTTGGTTTTGCCAGACGGGCTCAGACATTCCTCAGTTCCCTATTTTTATTAATTTTATTTCTACTTTTAAAGATTTCGTCTTTGACCAAACCGGAAAGTCGGCTTCGAGACAGACGGTGGAGGAGTACTGCGGAGGAAGGAGCGGATGGAGGAAAGTCATGCATCCACACCTAGATGGGGGCGGACGGCCACTTTGTTGTCGCCGTCATTGACCAGAGCGTAGGGTGCCAACCGGCATGGGCCGTTATGACCAGCATTGCAAGAGGGAGCAATTTGAACCCACTCCACGGGTGGCTGTCACGGCAGTCAAGGACCTTCAGCACGAGGCTCTTCGGCGCGGGCCCGTTCGGGGTCCTGCGTATTCAGGATGCCGATGGTATTCCTCTATCCTGCCCGTCTTGAAGCACGGCCTGAGGATTCCGGATTCAACGTGCATGCGAGCGGTGGGTGATCAGCCCACGAGGTGGAAAAAGCCTGAGTGGCGGGACCAGCACCTGCGGCACCATCCGCCAACCACGATTTGTTGTGAGAAGTTTGAGTGTAAACAGTTCTGTGGGACCGATGCCAGTGGGCCAAGCATAGTTGGTGCAACCGTGGACTGTTGAAAAACAGTCCTGTGGGACCAACGCCATTGAGCTAAAGCTCAGATGGTACACCCGCAGACTATTGAAAAACAGCCTTGTGGGATGAGCGCTCATGCAAGCTCAATTGATACACCCGCAAGCTGTTGAAAAACAGTCCTGCGGGCTCAGCACCTACACTAGCTCGGTTAGTACACCCCCGAGCTGCTGAAAATAGGCATGTGGGACCAGCAGTTGCAAACCTAGCTCGGTTGGTATACCCACGACTGTGGAAATACAGATCGGAGTTCAAACCTCAATAGAAGCAGCTGAGTGGAACACCACGGTCCCAAATTACCTGGGGCAGTTTTGGCTAATGGGAGGTGCCATGGGGCCTCGCCCAACTTGTGTCCTTCGGAACATCCATTGATATTGGAAAAATAGGGAGAAGACTTGGGCAGCCCCTGCTCGCACAACTGCAGTACGGCCATGGGACCCCAGATCAGATGGTGGGACTGGCGCGTACTTGAAACCAAGCATGAGCTTTGCCCAGGGGGGGGGTCTCCCACTAGCTCTGTCGTAATGGCACCTAACCACTATCAAGGGTAGGTGCCGCGGTATCTGATGACAACCGCCCGCTACTCTGTTGAAAAAGCCTGGGTGGGAGTATGCCATGGAACAGGCCGTATAATATCTGCTGGACTTTTCCTCCTTTGTTTTTTTTTTCTCTCCGATCTGGCCACGATGCCATCAGCTCTTCAAGAGTGTCGAGCAGCGCTAATCGGAGAAGAGAAAGGCAAAAGAGGGGCGATGAAGGGAGTAAGAAATGCAACGAAGGGGGCAACAAGGTTAGTAAGAGGAGAGAGTGGTAAGGCAGTAGTGAGAGAGTAACCGGAGAGACAGTAAGTGAAGGATGGCGCGTGAACCTGGTCGGGGTCAGGTCCACTTACACGAAGACGAACAAGTCCAGAAACTGACGAAGACAAAGTAAGGAAGAGAGAGTGAGATTGCCATATCTTGGTCATTCCTTGACCATTTTAGGCAGACTAAGAGGCTGCATATGGGTTTTCGGGCAGGGCAAATTCGAATCTGCAGTCAGATTAAACAAAGGATTAGGGGAATAGGAACTACAAAAGAAAAGTCATGCGCGGATGAGTCGAGGAGGGAGAAGAAAGGAAAGAGCGGGAGTGAAAGTTGCGTGTTTCGCTCATTTCTCAACGGATTCAAGCAAGGGAGGCCAAAACCAAGGTTTTGAGACAAGGCGAACATGATGGCCACGTAAGTTTGGGCGTAGTGGATGGAGAGTTAGTAGAAAAAGAGGGTCCGCGGAGAAGTCGAGGAAGACGACGAGGAGGAAGAAGGGAGCTAAAGTTTGTGTATCTCGGTCGTTTATTGACCGTTTTGAGCAGATGAAGATGCTAATCGGGGGTTTCAGGGCGCTCCGAACAAGATGGTTGCATTCGATTCCTGTTTAAGGCAACAGGTTTGTGGGGGCTGCGCGGTGGCGGAAGTATTTTTCCATGTTTTAGCGGAAGTTTAATTCTCATTTTGCATATTTGTGAATAGGGGAGCAAGGCCCCATAGCCGTGCACCCCACCTTTAAATTGGCACTCGTCCTCCTCACCATAGCGCACGCCCTCGCCCACGGTCACGATAGTTCTTGTTCGTCCTTGCAAACGTGACTTTCCTTCGTCATGATTACGATCGTCGATCTTCATGGTTATGCTCATTCCCTCGGTGCATTCGAATCCCAGGCGTCTATTTCAGCAGTGGCGTTCAACCTGTTTGAACCTGCTTCGACATGAATCTGACTGAGATCCATGCCAAATTCGGGGGAGGCTAGATGCAAGCAAGGGACGAAGGAAGATTTGTGGCAAAGAAGGTGACCGAGAAAGTGAAAAAAAAAACAAAAAACAAACAAACAAAGGGGGAGAGAGGGTAGCGAAGTGGAGTCAAAGGGGGAGCAGTGGGAAGAGTGAGTGGCACATTCGAGCCTACTTACCGCTTCGATTGATTGACACCCTTTGACCTTCGTGGTTTTTTTTTTTTTTTCCACCACGTAACTGGGCTTATGTACACTTGACCCGAACCTGGCCATAGTGGTGGCCAGGTGCATTTTGGACAGTAGAGCGCAAAGCAGACTTAGAGCAACGGAGGTGAATGAACTTGGACGCGACATTTGTTTGCACTTAAAAGAGTCACAGGGGACTCGCGCGTCTCGTCCAATAGAACGGTACGCTCGTTCCCCTTGGCATCACGCACCACGAACTGATTATCCGCCCACGTGGTCCTTAGGCAATGAGCCTTTAACCAGCCCAAGCCAATGACCGCGTCGAAAGGACACGTGTCCATGACATAAAAGTTCAGCTCATGTGTGACAGTGTGATCCTTGTCAAAAGTGACGCACACACCTTTGACAACATGTGTTGAGGTGACAACCTCTTGGTTGCCCACCTGGGTCTGACAAGGGTTCTGCAATTTCACTTGCTTCATTCCCAGGCCCGCCTTACGAATCCCGTTAGGAGAAAAGAAGTTAGTCGTTGAACCACTATCAATCAGCACACGGATGTATCGGCGGTTAATGAGTAACTTAAAGAAGGTCAGCTCCACACTCCCTTGAACACGGCGTTGCTGCTTGAGCTGCAGCCAATGTTCCAGGTGAGAGTGGAAGTCACCTTCCTTAGTCTCCTCCCAAGGGTCAATGTAAAGTACTTGGACTGCGCCAGCCTTGGATTCAGCATCAGTTCGGGCTTCAAGAATAAGTTGTTCATCAGATTCAAGCTCCTTGGAGGGGCCTGCAACTTACTGTTTAGCATCCCTTGTTGTAGAGAGTGCCGATGACTCTTCTACGCCCTTTGTCTGTTTCCCTGCAGACGATAACAGTCCTGCACAACATGCCCAGGCTTTTGACAATGCAAGCACACGTGCAGTTTGGATCTTCTTTCCCATTCCTTTTGACTGATGCGGAGGGCTTCCCAAGGCTTGGTAAAAGCATCCTCCGGTTTCTCAGGGATCTTTGCATTCTTGGGGAGGTGTGTTATAGTTCCCTTACCCGAACTACGGTTAGGCCCCTTGTTTGAAGCAGTCTTTTTAGGCCCCTTGTTTGAATACATTTTTCTTCAGTATTCACGTCAGACTCGAGGGCTGATGTAGAACAGCCCACGTCGGAGTCCGGCTCTAGATTGTCATCTAGAGACAGATCATCCGCATAGGACTGATCCTCAGCCCCCCGATGTTCATGCAGGGCAAGCTGGTTGCTGCTTCCGTACCGCTTGCGTTGCGAGGTTCTACCTGCAACGGGTGCCTTTACACGCCTGGCGAGTTCCTTGGCTTTTAGGTTGACTAGATCCGCCAGTAGCTCTCGCCAAGTGGTATGGTCTTTGAGTCCTAGTTGGGAGACGTATTCGTTAGGGGCCACTCCCATGACTACATCCATGCAAGACACGTCAGTCAATCCCAGGTTTGGAGTGGTGAACAAACCAGTCAAGTGCTGCTCCAAAGCCTGCATGAAAGTCTTCCACGTTTGGCCCTCGCGGGCCTCAAGCTTCAGTCTTGCCTTGAGCGCAGCGTGCTTATCTTGATACTGCGTGATGAGGAGGTCCTCAAGAGTACGTACAGGAGTCACTTTCAGCCACTCGGTCAGGTCAATCCTCTCATAACGTGCTGTAACAGCTTGGAGTTCTATGAAACTCCGTACGACGGGCTTAGTATTAGTGCCCATGATCATGCTTCAGTCTTCCTGCGGTGTTCGCAGTACCTCGAAGTATGAGCGCATGGAGCTAATCCAAGAGGTGATATCCCCTTTCCCGTCGTATTTGGACGGCAGAGTGGCCACCCGCTTCTCCACTACGGGACCGCTGTACTGTATGCCAGTAAGAACTGTGGCGTTTTGGGCTGATGTTTCTGCATTTGGGACTACGACCAGTGCAGAACTCTCGGCGCTGCCGCTTGAGGAGCTGGCACCGCTTCCTGTGCTCGTCACAGTTCCACTTGCTCTCGTCATGAGGACTGTGTTAGGGTGAGAGACTGGGACTGCAGCAAGTCGAGGGTTAGGAGGACGGGGGGCAGACAGTTGGGACTGTTTGAGGCTGACTATCTCAGCCTGCAGCTCTTGGTTCCGCTGCTCCAGGGCTGTTACACGGGACTCAACGTCTTCCAAGGTCCGCAGTTGAACCAAGGCTGCTACGACAGCAGCTATCTTCTCTTGGAACCGGTCATCATTCGATTTCGGAACCGCAAGGAGGGCCACCTGTTCAGCAATGCTTGTGGCTCTGGCTGCTGCCTCTGCCTCCCTTTCTCTGTGTATAGCGTCGTCATAAAGTTTCTGAAAGAAAGGCCTCTCGTTATCGGGCGCTGCGTCCAACATGGCCTTCCATTGCTCGGACGTGATGTCTGCCATGCCGAAGGATAGGGTGTCAGTAGATCTCTCAAGAGGGGTCCGCACCTTGCTCACTTTTGGACGAACACTCCTCTTACCCTTCCTCACACTCTCAAAAAGAACACCTTCTCTCTCCCTTCTCTCTCTTTCCGCTTTCTGCGCACGCGTCTCAATACCGGACATAGATAGTTCAGATAAAAGAAACAAACAGTAAATCACACAGAGTAGAAGGTAGAACTCCTAGCCGGAGCGGCAATTCATTTGGACTTAGAGAATGGCATTCACGCAGCAGAATAAAGAAAATAATTAAAAAAAACGAAAGAGAGGACTGACTCATCGAACGGGCCCGATCAGATTAGCTGGAGATCCCCTCTTGTCTAACCTGACAAGGTACATGTACCACAATAAATCAGCTGAAGAAGACTAACTGCAGCAATGGAGGTTTCGAGGGGTGCAGACGGTCGCCGAGCCAGACGCGGGGTAGTATGTGACAACATGCAGTAAGACCAGTCAAGATCCCCTTCAAAGGAATGCCCTTGCTAGCCGTATGTCCCCCAAGTTCAGCACAACAAAGAGATGCATTGGCGGCAACAGATTTGGGCCCTAAAGGTCCTGTCCCGTTGGGCCTGGTCCCACTGACTCTCGAAGGTCCCAAGTAGGTCGTGGACCAGGACCAACGAGATAGGTGTACCAAGTTAGTCCCAAACTGCCTCTACCGTACTGAAAAGAAAAAGACAACTTTCAGCAAGAACTCACCCCTACAGCCGTTCAGAAATGAAAAGACATTGCACTGTAGAAAGATATGTCATTGAGAACAGATACATCATCCATCCATCCATCGGGTGAGAAAGCAATCCACATGCTCATACACACAACCAAAACCGCAAAGAAGGGGAAAAGAGCCCAGCACACCCCAACAGGCCATGAAGCACCAAGCAACCTCCCACGGGCATAACCAGGTCACATGACACTTACCTGTGAGGCCCGGCCTCCAAAGATGGATAACGACTCACCCCCCTCTCTCCTTGGTCCTCCTAACCCCTAGCTACCACTACACGAAGTGTCCTAGCATGACTAAGAGGGCCTTCGTACACCCCTGTTACAACTCCAGATCCCCCACCAATGTCTGAAGACCAAAGTAGCAACTTGCAGCTCTTCGATGCAGATATGGCAGCCTCCGTTCAAGTCTCCCTCTTGAGGGGAAGCCCAAAAGTCACTCAATGTCTTCTTGAAGTGCAGATTCCAGGTGCGAGTACCTCTCACTCTCTACTCCCTCTCGCTTACTCCAATCAGCCTCCTTTGTGTCTCACCACCCCATCCAATCACTCAAGCAAATTGGTCAGGTCTGATGTCGACTCTACATGACCTAACCAGGTGGGGGCAATATCCACATACCTCACTGCCCCTCTTAACCCTAACTTCCCAACCCTAATCCGAGATTAGGTTAGCCCTGACCTAATTCAGAATTAGGTTTAGGGTGACTAACACCTCTCGCCAACAAGTAAGTCCGCTTCGATACCAATTGTTACGATCCTGGTCATTCGAGAAAGAAGAAGAAGAAGAAGAAGAAGAAGAAGAAGAAGATGTACACCAGCAAGACCAATGACAATTCCCCCTTCTCTCTCCACCTTCCTCCTCCTTCACTTCGCCAATCTTATTCTTCTCCCAATAATAATGATAACAATGAGTGGATGAACCAGAATCAATATTCGAAGTTCCCTCTTCCTGCTGACACAACAACAACAACAACAACAACAACAACAAGTCCACCATAGCTATGGATTCCCTCCTTCTTCCTCCTCTCGCATGCCTAGGCTATGGCGGACTACTGAGGGCCCTGCCCTCCTGTCCAAAGGACAACCCAAAGCAGCTATGATGCTGCACTCCTATCCAAAGGACAACCCAAAGCAGCTATGCCGCTGCTGACTGATCCGCCATGCCTGACCCTGCCTCGAGCTTCCTTGGTGCGGCACTACCCCAACTGGGGCCTTCCAGATGCAGCGCCCAACAAGCTGATGAAGAGGGTGTCCACAATAGCCAGGTAGGTGCCTCACCACTCTCCTCCTTCGCCCCCTTCTTCCTCCTCCTTAGGCTGGGCTGCTCGCCATAGCCAGGCTGAGCGCCAGCTCCCTTCACCTCCAAGCAGCGCTGTATCAGTCCAGCGTTGTGCTCCAGCAGCATGTCGCCAATCCTTGCATACCGCAAATGAGGAGGAGCTACTTGCTCCTCCGGAAGATATAGCGGCCTACTGGCCTCTTGGGCGGTGACTTCCTAGGCCGAGCGACCTCCCAGCAACCGGTACCTCCTCCCTTTCGGAGGGAACATCATTGCAGGCTATGCTATCCTCCGGACAGGCCCTAGACCCGGGCTACTTGGACTGGTACCGGCCTACCTCTAGCCTACCGTTACTGGGCCTCTAAAAATGTCAACTTTTTGTCTTCTTCTGCTTGGCCTCCAGTACCCAACGCTTCTACCACTACTTCAGTGGTACTGGTCTACCTGCTACTTTTGAGTGTTTTTCCTCTCTGCTCTAAGTGTCGCGGGCCTACCCCCGCTACTCGAGTGTTTTCCCCCCTGCAACCCTCAAGTCCTGGCCACAGGTAAGTACCGGCCCTGTGGGGCCTTTCAACCAACAAGTACCCTTGCGGGTCACACACACACTCAGCCGACAAGCACTCAGACAGGCATGCAAACCAGCAGGGACGCACACACACAGACATGGAAATCACAGCAGAATGCGGGAATCTTAGCAAGGCATTCATTCCAGCGGCAAATCCCAGAAATCAGCAGTGTTCTCGGTCTGTGTTTTTGGCGGGTCATTACACAATCAATTTGATTGATTGATTGTGATTGGTTGATTATTGATTGATTGATTGTGTGTGTGTGTGTGTGTATGTGTGTGTGTGTGTGTGTGTGTGTGTGTGTGTGTGTGCGTGTGTGTGTGTGTGTGTGTGTGTGTGTGCGTGTGTGCGCGCGCGCGTGCGTGTGTGTGTGTGTGCGCGCGTGTCTGTGCGCACGTGTGTGTGTGTATGTGTGTGTGTACGCGCGCGGGCGGGTGTGCGTGTGTGCGTGCGGGCGGGCGGGTGTGTGCGTGTGCGCGCGGGCGGGTGTGTGTGTGTGCGCGCGGGCGGGTGTGTGTGTGTGCGCACGGGCGCGTGTGCGTGTATGCGCGCGGGCGGGCGGGTGTGTGTGTGTGCGCGCGGGCGGGTGTGTGTAAGTATGTGTGTGTGCGAGCGGGTGGGTGTGTGTAACTGTGTGTGTGTGTGTGTGCCGGGGGGAGGGTTGGGAGGACTTCCCCCACCAATCAATCAATCAATCAATCAATCAACCAATCAATCAATTAATCAATCAATCAACCAAATCAATCAATCAATCAACCAAATCAATCAACCAATCAATCAACCAATCAATCAATCAATCAATCGATCAATCAATCGATCAATCAATCGATCAATCAATCAATCAATCAATCAATCAATATATATATATATATATTTTTTTTTTCTCCACACACCAAAAACGACCCCCCCAAAAATTATTTTTTTGAACTTTTTTTTGTTCGAGGGGGTGGGGTCGAGGTTCTGGAACCCCAATCCGAAGCCCCCACCCCCAACCCCCTCTCCCCTCGGCCGCGGTGAGCTGCGGCAGCCCGCGGTCGCCGCGGTCATGAGTGTGGCCCAGCGGCCCTGACCGCGGCCCGCGGTCGTACCCACCGCGGCCGAGGCCGCTGGTGTTACCTAGTAATACAATGTTGAATAGCTGAACCAGAATCAAAGTCTGAATCCTTCTTCTACTACAGGTATCACTTAAGGTCCACCATAGCCATTGCCGCCTCTCCCACTCTTCACTCTCATAGGCCAAGGCTATGGCGGACTACTAGGCTTTGCCCAGATGTCCAAGGGACAACCCAAAGCACCTATGGCTGCCCTAGCTCAGGCCGCCATGCCTGACTCTGCCTCGAAGCGTCTTGGTGTAGCTCAACCCCAGCTGGGGCCTTCCTGCTGCAGTGCCCACCAAGGTGATGAAGATGGCTGCCACCATAGCCAGGTAAGTAGCTCTGGTGCTCCTCCCCCTCCCTGTCCTTTTTCCTCCTCCGAGTCCTTGCTTCTTCCCCAACAATGCTGCTCCAAGCTAGCACTGCTCCAGCCAGCGCTCCAACCAGTGTGTCGCCAAACTTGCACACCGACAATGAGGCTGGGCTCTTCGCCCGCCCTGGAGATATAGTGGCCTGCTTGCCTCTTGGGCTGTGACTTCCAGGCCGCTTGGCCTTCCCAGCAACTGGTACCTCCTCCCTTTCGGAGGGAACATCATTGCAGACTCTGATATTGCCCATACAGGCCCTAGACTCAAACTGCTTGGACTGGTACCCGCCTAGACCTAGCCTACAACTATTGGGCCTCTCACAATGCCACTTTTGTCTTCTTCTGCTCGGCCTCCAATACCCGCACATCTACCTCTTTAGGGTGCGGTATCGGCCTACCTGATACTTGAGTGGTTTCCCCCGCTGCAATCGCTCAATGTCACGGCCACAGGCAAAACTTAAAAATCAGCCATGTGTTTAAGCCCATGTTTGGTTGGGTCATCACAAAGCGGAAAAGTCGAAGAAGAAGGAAAAAGTCAAGGTGAAGTTGCCGTTCACGTACAACAACAAAAAAGACGAGAATATGTTGTTGTGGATCGCGGAAATGCAGACTTACTGCGGGACCGCACCCGTTGAGCTCGAAAGTCAAGTCGCTTTCTCTACGGCGTGTCTTGGAGGAGTGGCTAAAGAATGGGTGCTGGCCGAAGCCAATGCCGCTGGCTTTGAAGACATTGGTGAGTGGGCGAAGACCCTGAACCTCAAGCAATTTCTCCAAAAGATAAAGGAGAGGTTTCTTGACAATACAGCGACTGATAAGGCCTACTCACTACAATTGGCCAGAAACGTTGGACTTCGGTTGATGCTTTGTCGCGTGAGGTTGACCGTCTTTTACAGGTACCCGAGCTGAACTTGCAGGATAACCAGGTCATGTACATATACTCACGTGCACTGCCCGATCCCATTCAGCTCGTAGCAGAAGCCAAGTCTGGGAAATATAACTACCGGCAATTTCGCGACCTTGCTCTCCAACAAGAGCAAATCACTGCATAAGTGAAAGGTAAGTATGCTTCAGTGGTAAAGTCGGGACCGGTTGGTGGGTATGGTAAGCGGATCCTTTGGCGGCAAAAATGTCAGGATCACATGCTTGTTGTGCTTGACGATGATACCGTAAAGAAGCTACCCTCAACGAGTCTGAGGAGGAGGAGGTAACGATGACAGTGAATCTGGGAAAGGTGATATCACTGTCGTGATGGCCAACAAGGGAGGCCAAAGTCAATGAAAGAAGAAGAGGAGGCCAAGCTCGTTTCCCGAGCATCCCGACATTGCGTTCGGGAAGCCTTGGGAGATAATGAACATGACACAAGAGGAGTGGCAGTCCAAAATGGACAATCGCCAATGCCTCAAGTGTGGCACCGTGGGTCATGTAATAGCCTGGTGCCCACTTATCAGGAACCCAAAAGCGAGCAGCCAGTAGGAGTAGCATCTGCTCCTACTGAGTCGAAGGGTTTAGACGAAGACAAAGGTAATGCGCCTATAACCCCTTCTAACCTTTCGATTCTCAAGGCAGAGGATGACTCTTCTTCATCCCATAGTCCAGAGCACCCTGACACTGTTCTTTGCTCTATCTCACTGGACGATTCCCTTGACGATGAACTTATAGCACTTAGGACTTCGTGGACGAAGAAAGCTAAGTCTAAGGGTGAGCTAATGGTCGTGGAAATTGAGCTTGCGCACACGCGAGTTGGTGCATTGTTAGATCCAAGATCGACGAGGTCTTACATCTCAGAGAAGGCAATTCGGAAATTGCATCTGGGAATGAAGGTAAAGGATTCACCTTGACCTATCACGTCTATACTGCTGACAAGAGCATGATCATTGTCTCTTACGTCGATCGTGTCAAGTGTTATTTTAGGACGAAGCAAGGAAAAGAAGATCCTACATGAAGTATCCTTCCTAATAGAGAAGAATTTACCCTTTGACATAATTTTGGGTATAGATTGGCATGAGAGAGCCAACCCAGAAGTCAAATTCAAAGATAAGATTGTCAAACTCAAGGACGAAAAGTCTGAACTTCGAGCGATTAAGTTATACCATAGGTTTGACTCTTACTCTACTCTGTTTTTTTGGTAATATGAGTTATCCAGCTTTTCGATCAATGGTAGTAAAGAAGAAGCTTGATCAAGAGGTGATGATGGTGCTTGTCAAACAAGTTGGTGAGTGTTCCTCATCCTATCCACCTTCTATCGAAAAACTTCTCGACGAGTATAAGGACTTGCAAACTGAGCCGACAGGAATTACTGAGCATGTTATGAGCGTGCTATCAAGCACACAATCGAGATTATTCCCGGAAGCAAGATTCCCAAGGGTCCCATTTACCGAATGTCTCCCATGGAACTTGAAAAACTTTAAAAACAGATGCAAGAACTTACTGACAAGGGATGGATTCGCCCTAGCTCATCTCCTTATCGTGCGCCTGTCTTATTCGTGCCCAAAAAGGAAGGTGAACTTCGTCTATGTATCGATTATCGTGGGCTGAACTCCGTCACTGTGAAAAACGTGGAACCATTCCGCGCATTGACGATTTGTTAGACCAGTTGCAGGGATGCAAGTACTTTAGCAAGATTGATCTCAAGTCAGGGTACCACCAAATTGAGGTGGCTCATGAAGATCAATATACGACGACTTTCCTAACCAGGTATGGTCACTACGAGTTCGTGGTTATGCCTTTCGGTTTGACCAATGCAATTGCGACCTTCCAAAGGTCAATGAACAAATTATTTTGTCAGTGGCTTGATTAGTTCGTAGTAGTGTATAGTAAGACACTAGAAAATCACGAGAAACACCTACGTGTGATGACCCGTCCAAACATGGACTAAACACACGACTGATTTCTGAGTTTTGCGCATAGACTGAATGCCTTGCTGAGTTTCCCGCCTGCTACCAAGTCTGTGTGTGCACGCTTGCTGGACTGCATGTCTATCTGAGTGCTGGTTGGCTTGAGTGTGTGTGTGGCCGTGCCTGTCTGAGTGCTGGTTGGCTTGAGTGTGTGTGTGGCCCGCAAGAGCACTTGCTCGTTCATTGGGCCCTCAGGGCCTGTACTTACCTGTGGCCATGACATTGAGGAATTGCAGCAGGAAAAACATTCAAGTAGCGGGTAGGCCGGTACCGCACCTTGAAGAGGTAGATGTGCGGGTACTGGAGGCCGAGCAGAAAAAGACAAAAGTGGCATTTTTAGAGGCCCAATAGTTGTAGGTTATATCTAGGCGGATACCAGTACAGCCAGTCTGGCTCTAGGGCCTGTACGGGCAATATCAGAGTCTGCAATGATGTTTCCTTCCGAAAGGGAGGAGGTACCAGTTGCTTGGAAGGCCGAGCGGCCTGGAAGTCACCGCCCGAAGAGGCAAGCAGGCTGCTATATCTCCCAGCCGGGTGAAGAGTCCAGCCTCTTTCTCGGTGTGCAAGTTTGGCGACACAATGGTTGGAGCGCCGGTTGGAGCAGCACTATCCAGGAGCAGCGCTGCTGGGGGAAGGAGAAGAACACGGAGAAGGAAGAAGGACAGGAAGGGGAGGAGCGTCAGGGTTACTTACCTGGCTATGGTGGCAGCCATCTTCATCACCTTGGTGGGCGTTGCAACAGGGAGTCCCCAACTGAGGAGAGCCACACCAAGAAGCTTCAAGGCAGAGTTGGGCATGGCGGCCTGAGTGAAGCAGCCATAGCTGCTTTGGGTTGTCCTTTGGGCATTTGGGCAAGGCCTAGTAGTCCGCCATAGCCTCGGCCTATGATGAGGAAGGGAGGAGGCGGCGGCCATGGCTATGGTGGACCTCAAGTGATGCCGGCAGTAGAAGAGGAACTCGGACATTGATTTTGGGTCAGCCATTCAACATTGTATTATTATTTCTTGTATGAATAAGAGAAGGGGGAGATAAGGAGGAGGAGATTGTTGGGCGAAGAAGAAGAGGCTTGTCATTTGCTTATGCTAGTGTACATCATCTTCTTCTTCTTCTTTTTCTAATCCTCTCTCCCCTCTCAAGTTCATTCACTCCTTTCTGCAATTGAGCGGCATTGTACTATCTGATGGATGTGTATCTCGAAATTGGCCAGGATCATAACATATGAATGGTTTTGCAGAAGTTGCGTGAGGGAAACTTCAAACTGAATCCAAAGAAGTCGGAGTTTGCTAAGCCTGAAATCTTGTACTTAGGGCATATAGTGAACGAGGAAGGACTCAGGCTTGAAGAAAAGAAGATACAACAATCCGAGATTGGCCACAACCTAAAACTATAATTGAGTTAAGATCTTTCATAGGACTTGCGAGCTACTACAGGAAGTTCGTCAAAAACTTCTCCTTGATAGTTGCTCCTATGAGAAGACTGCTGAAAAAGGAACAGCCTTGGTTGTGGGACAAAGATTGTGAGTCATCGTCTAGAAAGTTAAAGCATGTTTTAACTCACTACCTTGTTTTAAAGATTGATGACCCTTCTCTTCCTTTCATCGTCACAACTGACAAAGTCAGTACGGGATTGGGGTTGTGCTACAACAAGACAACGGTAAGGGATATACACCTGTGTTACGATCCTGGCCAATTTCGAAGTATACATTCATCAGAAAGTACAATGCCGTCCAATTGCAAAAAGAAATGAATGAACTTGAGAGGAGAGAGAGGGAAAGAAGAAGAAGAAGTAAGAAAGAAGAAGAAGAAGATGCACCCCAGCATAGAGGGAAAGAAGAAGAAGAAGTAAGTAAGAAGAAGAAGAAAATGTACTCCAGCATTGACCAATGACAAGGCTCTTCTTCTTCGCCAACCAATCTCCTCCTCCTTATCTCCCCCCCTCTTATTCAAACAAGAAATAACAATAATAATGTTGAATGGCTGAACCAGAATCAATGTCCGAACCCCACTTCTACTGCAGGCACAACGTGAGGTCCACCGTAGCCATGGCCACCCTTCTCCTTCCTCTTACATGTAGGCTGAGGCTATGGCGGACTATTGAGGGCTCAACCCTCCTGTCCAAAGGACAACCCAAAGCAGCTATGTCGCTGCCTCCTTGTGCAAAGGACAACGCAAAGCAGCTATGTCGCTGCTCACTAGCCCGCCATGCATGCCTCCGCCCCGAGCTTCCTTGGTGCAACACTACCCCAACGGGGGCCTTCCAGATGCAGCGCCTAACAAGGCGATGAAGATGGTGTCCACCATAGCCAGGTAGGTACCTCGCCACTCTCCTCCTTAGTCCCCGTCTCTCTCCTCCTCCTACCGGTAGAGCTCCACCATAGCCAAGGTGGAAGTTCCCGGCTTCTTCCTCCCAACAGGGTTGTAGTACCCAGCGCTACTCCAGCTAGCACTCCAGCAGCGTGTTGCCAAACTTACACACTGAAGAATGAGGCCGAGGGAAGAAGAATGAGGTCGAGATCTTCCCTCGACCTCTTGATATAGCGGCCTACTTGCCTCCTGGGCGGTGACTTCCAGGCCGCTCGGCCTCCCAAGCAACCGGTACCTCCTCCCTTTCGGAGGGAAACATCATTGCAAACTCTAATATTGCTCGTATAGGCTCTAGCTCAGACTGGATGGACTGGTACCGGCCTAGACCTAGCCTACCGCTATTGGGCCTCTCAAAATGCCAACTTTATCTTCTGCTCTAGGCACTGCGGCCCCCTAGCTCCACTACTTGAGTGTTTTCCCTGCTGCAACCCTCAATGCCACGACCACAGGTAAGTACCGGCCCTACGGGCCTGTCAAACAAGCAAGTACCCTTGCGAGTCACACACACACTCATACCGACAAGCACTCAGACAGGCACGCAGGTCAACAAGCACGCATACACACAGACTTAGAAAACTCAGCAGAATGCGAGAATCTCGGCAAGGCATCCATTCCATCGACAAAACTCCAAAATCAGCAGTGTTCTCAGCTTGTGTTATGGCGGGTCATTACACCTATTGAGTTTATGTCCAAAGGACTTCCGTCAGAAAAAGTGGCCAACTCCATCTATGAAAGGGAATTGTATGCCTTAGGTGTTGCACTAGATACCTGGAAACATTACTTGTTAGGGAGGCATTTCACTCTCTATTCTGACCACTCTACTTTGAAGTGGATCAAAACTCAACCTAGACTTTATGACAAGTTGGTAAGATGGTCCGCATTCCTTGATACGTTTCACTTTTAGGTGAAAACCATAAAAGGTAAGTCTAACGTGGTTGTGGATGCTATGTCCAGGCGTGCAAATTTCTTTGGAACCATTGTCTCCTACCTTGATATCGGGAACGAACTAAAAGAACAAATTCGAAAGGGTTATGGGAGTGATCCTATTTGGAGTCTCATCATTGAGACTCTACGAAAGAACCCTGAGTTGTTTCCAGAATATCAAATGACTGATGGCTTACTCTTCTTTCTGGATAAAACCGAAGAAAGAAGTGTATTCCTCACCAAGAACAGATAAAAAGCTTAATCATTGGGAAATGTCATGGTGTGGAAGGTCACTTTGGTCTTAAGAAGACGTATGCCGATGTCCAAGAACGGCTTGAATGGAAAGGAATGAAGGAAGATGTACTAACGTATGTGCGGACAACAAGCCCTCAGATGAGAATCCGATGGGACTACTGAGACCGCTGCCTATTCCAAGTGAGCAAGGTGAGTCTATTTCCATTGACTTTACGAGTCTCACTAAGAGTCGAAATGGCAACAGTCAAGTAATGGTCATCGTAGATAGATTTTCAAAGCATGCTATGTTCATTCCTTTGGCTGCTGAAGCTAGAACTGAACTAGTCATCCAGAAGTTTCAGATGCGATGGGTCTCTGGGTATGGATTTTCGAAAACCATCGTCTCTGACAGAGATGTTCGGTTCACTAGTCTACAATGGCAGAAGTTCATGGAAGTCTATGGCACCAGGTTGACCATGTCGTCAGGCAGACATCCTGAAACGAATGGCCAAACTGAGCAAATGAATCGTCTTTGCCAACAACTTTTGCGAATGTATGTTAGACCTGATCAGATTGATTGGGATGAGAACTTGCCTAAAATTGCTAGTGCCTACAATAGCAGTATACATACTGCTACAGGTAGAACGCCTAACGCAATGCATAAAGGATGGAAGCCTAGGCGTCCCATTGATGCATTATCAAGGGACCAGATTCGGAGGCTACCCCCAGGTACGCGTGAATTCGCAGTTCTATATGAAGAAGACATAAAAAAGGTTAAGGAAAACATACAAAAGACCCAACTACAAATGATTGAACAGGCTAATAAACATCGCTCACCTTCACAATTCCAAGAAGGGGACTTTGTCTGGGTCAAGTCTAAAGAGTTTCCTTAGAAGAAAATGTGTCTCAAAAACTGCTACCTGTCTATCACGGCCCCTGGGAAGTTCTCAAAGTAACGGGAGGTGAAGATGGACCTTCCTACCGCATAGATGTACCTCCACACCTAAGGACATACCTTGTCTTCCATGCGTCTAAACTGCTACCCTGTGTAGAAAGTGATAACTTTCCTAATAGGCCATCTATGTTTCCACCCTCTATGAATGGAGGCTATGAAGTTGAAAGAATATTGGAACATGGGTATTTTTCTACAGGTGGCAGAGGACGACCTCAAAAGCGGTACAAGGTAAAGTTCAAGTCCCAACCTCCATCTAAAGCCAGATGGTTAGTAGGAAAGAACTCCTACCTACTGCTCCTGACATTGTTGCTGCATATGAACGTGGGTTAAGTGAGAATTGATGTATTTTCTGCGATGGAACTCGAAAACTGGGCCGGCGGGAATGCAATAACCCATGCCTTATGTCTTGTGGAATATCTGAGGGTTTACTAGGCCGCGGTCAGCCCAGGCCAAAACGTGGATTCAAGGCCTGGACGTGAGACAGTTGACTTTAGTCAACTGTCGAAATACCAACAGTCAAAGTCCAAAGGTACCCAGTCCAGGCCGCCGGTCAGGCACGCACATTTGTTTGTATGCAGGTACCCAGACAGCATCAGATCCAGAGGGGAGTCTGCAACTGTACACAATCCAGGCCCTCGGCTGTGAGTCAATCTGGACAACGGTGGGGAAGGGAACCAAGGCCAGAAAGCATCGTCAAATGCTACTTAAAGGCTGACTTCGAGGTGGTTAACATTCAGTCTTGCTATGCTGCTTGGACGCTGGCTGTACACAGGCACATGCTGGCGCATTCTGCATTGTGCACCAGGCATGCTGATGTGGCGCTGCCACTGGTCTACATTGCATGCTGATGTGGCGCTGCCACTGGTCTACATTGCATCCTGATGTGGCGCTGCCTATGGTCTACATTGCATGCTGATGCGGTGCTGCGTATGGTCTACATTCCATGCTGATGCGGCGCTGCCACCGGTCTACGTTGCATACTGATGTGGCGCATACTACAGGTCAACATTGCTGATGTGGCGCATGCCACTTATTTCGACTGCTGACGTGGCATTGGCCGCGCGGTCTACATGAGGCGACTGGTTGCCACGAGGAGGAAAATCAGGATCTGTGGATGATTAGGATACGGGATACTTACCTGAGACCGACGTCGATATTGTTCGCTGCTGGCTGTCTTCACTGTCTCTATGAAAGAGTGGTGCCACGTGGCACTTCTGTGATATCGGGGCTGATCCGACTTGTTACTATTATTTGCTTGATGGCGTGGACGGAGAGGAAGCCCAGAGAAGAAGTGGGATTGGTTGGGTTACTATTGTGTGATCTTTGATCATTTCTTCCACCTTCTCCCTTGTCTCTCCTCCCTCCACTCTTTTCGTCTATTGGTAACGAGATACTGTTGTATATATCATTTTCACGTTCACTGGAGACTTTGTACAGATCTGAAACTACTGGACTTCGACGTCTGATGAGTATCTTCCTGACTGGGTTCATTACACAGCAAAAGGGAACTTAAGGTTGTGTAGCAAGGGGGGAAACTCAAAGACAATGGGAGGGGTAGCGGGGTATACACAGCCCAAGGATTTGCTTAGCAGCTGGAACTCAGGTTGCAATCCCAAGGTGTTAATTATTATACCTGACTCCCCCAAAATATATAGTTATTTAGTATAGATGTCTATAGTTGACTCTATACCTGATTCAGGGTCCTGTAAAACCTGTCGTATGCGATTTCTTGAGAAGAGCGACACGTGATTGCTTGGGTCTTCAACCCACTCCTGACTCAGAGTCACGCAGACCTGGCAATGGAACATCAAAAACACAAAAATATTATGAGCAGCGAGAAAAAGCCAAACCACAGGTTTGCAATGACCCGCGCAGAATCAGTCTGAGATCCATGCTGTGCTGCTTGATGGTTTGATTTGCTGAGATTTCCGTGTTCTGACTAAGAGTTTAAGTCCGTATGTGATGTACTAAGTACTACTAAGTTCTAACTGCATTCTCGCCCTGTCTTCTGTGTGTCCCGAAAAGGGGTAGTTTAGAAATAGGGGAGCTACATGGACAGGACTAGAACTCGACACTGGATAGACATGGTCGAAAGGCCAGGATGGACAGGGACAAAGGTAGAATTTCCAAGGTACCCCTCAACCTGTGCTTTGTGTGTCCTGAAAGTGGTAGTCCAAAAATAGGTGAACAACGTGTACAGGACTGGAATTGAACACCGGATGGACTTGGTTGAAAGGCCAGGACGGACAGGGACAAACATACAATTTCACAGGTACCTGGTAGGGATTTTCCCGCAACTTGGGAAGGTCCAAGTGAAATCCAGTAGGCCTGGGGAGGCCTGGTAGACTCCAAAATAAGTCTGAGAGTGCAGACCTGTATCTAGGCAGGAGTTAAGCTAGAGACAAGCCCAGTATCTGGATTGCAGGCTGCAAAGATGTTCCACGCCTCAAAGCCAGAACTTCCAGTAGCCCCAGTAGGCCGATGGAGGCACCGGCCTGGAGGAGGAGGAGGTTGGTGAAGCAAGAGTATATCATTTGGTGGAGTGGCAAGAGGCAATTGACATCTTACCCAGCGGTCATGCTCCTGCTCTGTCCAGAGGGTGGAAAGGCAGGAGAAGCTCCTGCTGCGAGGCGGAGTTGGAGGGTGAGGAAGAAGACGGGGTAGGAGGAGGGAGTAGGCCTAGGTTGTGAAGGTGGAGGGTGAAGCACGTCATGCCAGGCTATCGAGAATGATGAGAGTAGGGTGTAGGTGATGAGAAAGGGAGAGAGAGAGGAAGCAACATGAGAGACTCACCTTCGCCTATGATTGACCTTCTTCTTCACTTCCTTGACTGGCCCTGTGCGGTACAGGCTGGTCTTGGACTTTATCCAAGAGTGTGACTATGGCAGGATGAGATGGGAGAGGCATAGTCGTTTTTGAGATGTACTTTTTGAACATCCGTGATGAGCATGGATGAACTGGGACAGTAGTAGATTCAACAGAGAGAAAAGAAGTGAGGTTATGGCTGAAAGGAGGGCTCTCTGAGTGCTGACAGTAAGGGGAATACTCACGCACATATTTTTTACTTTTATTTTTTCGAACGTCAAAATATTCATAGAATCAAGATCTTAGTGGGGAATAGGGTCGCCTTTGTATCCCCTACCACCTCACGCAGCCTGATCGACAACAGATAACTTCTGTTCAATGCTACTCATCTTAATTATGTTTTCAGTGAAGCAAAAATGGGAAACTGGGTGGTATGATGGTATCACTTTTTTTTTTTTTTTTTTATAATTGGTGTTATCACTTAATTTTGCAACATGTCGAGAAATTCATAGAATCAAGATCTGAACGGTCAGTACAGTCGCCCATATACCCCTTACCACCTCATGCAGCCCGATTGACAAGAGAGAACTCCTGTCTGACGCTACTCAATTACATTTTCAGCGAAGCATATACGGGAAACCAGATGGAATTACTTCTATAAGCAGCTCCAACAACAACAGATAGCTCCTGTCTGAAGCTACTCATCTTAATTGTTTTTTCAATCAAGCATAGATGGAAATTACTTTTCTACTTTGTGCTTAGAATCAAGATCTGGACGGTCAGTACGGTCGCCTTCGTATACACTACCACTTCATGCAGCCTCATCGACAGGATGCGTCCACTGCCTGAAGCTATGGTCCTTAATCAGTTTTCAACATCCCCTCCTTAGCTGGCCCATCACCCCCAGCCCACCCCCCAACCCCTCCCCCCAACCCAAGCTCAAAGTCAAGTTTTATTCCCAACTCAGGCTGCTATCGGCCAAGTGCAGCACAGCCCCCAGATTGGATTTGAAAAATTACAGGGGAAGACCGCCTGTCAACGGGTCTGCAGATGGCCGACGGGGTCTGCCCAACTGGTCGGCTGCAAAACCGTCCGCTATCGGTGGCCTGGCTACCCTGGTACTTGAGTAAGAAAACAAGAAAACCCTGAAAAGATGAATTCTCTTTCAGAATCTGTTGTAATGGCCCTGAAATAAGCATAATGGCTTACTGCAGTTAGAAAAAGACCCTGATAAAATTGCCTCATCGCTCCTCGCCCTCTCCCTCTCCCTGGCCTCGCAACTCTGTTAGGAGGAAGCTTAGAAAAACCGGTCGTGATAAAATCTCCTCATCGACACGCGGTCTCTCCCTATCCCTTGCCTCACAGCTCTGTTAGGAGGGAAGCTTAGGAAACGAATCCTGAGAGAATTGCCTCATCAGCCCCCACCCTCTCTCTCGCCTCGGTGCTCGGTTAGAAGCGGAGAGCAGCACAAGAGGCACCAGTGGAGTGTCGGTGGAGTTTTCTCATTTGGTAAGTTAGCCTCCCTAAGGGCGATCGACTCCGTTGACATTCGCACACAGCACTATTGCCAAACCACCTCACGCATGACACAAGAATTCCAAATGGCTGAAGTTCTAGACGCTCTGGAAGAGTGACAGGTTGCCACAAGTACAGAAGATCAAGTCGTTTATAAAAACAAAAGAAGAAGAAGAAGAAGAAGAAGAAGAAGAAGAAGAAGAAGAAGAAGAAGAAGAAGAAGAAGAAGGAGGAGGAGGAGGAGGAGGGGAAGGAGGAGGAGGAGGAGGAGGAGGTGGAGGTGGTCTTTATTGATGGATTTACCTCCTTCAGTTGCGCCTTAGACAGCTTCAGGAGTGGGCGTACTAGCATTACCCTGTTCTGCTCGCAACCCAGTCCCAAATTCTCTGGATTTACTACTCCAGGTACGATTCTCTCTCCCACAGCTGATGTCAAATCACTGGCAAAGGAAGCCATTCTCTCTCCCACACCTGATATCAAATCGCTTGCAAAGGAAGCAATAGGCATACCTGCCAATCCCCTGATGCCACTGCTATGTGCCAACCTCAGCAGAAAGAGTTCTGCCTGTTCCATTCGCACTCACACACATACACACACACACACACACAGAGGAGGAGAGAGAGAGAGAGAGAGAGAGAGAGAGAGAGAGAGAGAGAGAGAGAGAGAGAGAGAGAGAGAGAGAGAGAGAG